AGCAGTACATTTTATTTAAATGTAAGTTTTATTTTGCGATTATGATTTAAATAATGTTCTACTGGATATAGAAGCATATTTCCATTCGTGAATACAAAAAAAACTTTTGGTTCAAATCTATTTCCGGTGTTGCTACGGTAACAGTTCAAAACAAGTTCAAGACCCGGCTCCTACGATTCTTCGTTGACAGAAGCGTATCGTTGCTATTTCAGTTGTTTTTTTAACAGATTTCAGAGACCTGTTTGAGTTCAAGTGCCTTCTTGTTTCTGCAGACAGGTTTGTAGATGTTATTTTGTATGAATTCCTTTTGGTTTCTCCCGAAATGTCTCTGGATTTGTGTTTGTTGGAATTGTAAACAAAACAGGCCATCTTTGACAACCAGCAAATATTCAACGTTTTGAAGCCCATTTTGCTTACGTTTTCCTTTAGATTACTGTTGTATTATCTATTCCTTCATTTACCAGCTTGTTTGCCTATCATATTTAGACGCACGTTGTAAGTATTTCGGTAATTCTGGAGCCACCACGGTTGTTTCGACCCCCAAATTGACCACAATTCTGATCATGTTTATGAACGGCCCACACAAAAACGTCATCGATTCACCTAAACAGCAGTCTGTGTCTTTAGCCACCAGTCCGTAGCCCAAGTCTAGTAAACCTTTCTTTCAGTCTAGTAAGCTTTGCTAATAAAGGTCCATACATGAACACTAAGATGATCTTAGATCTACTGAAAATGATGGGGTGTTGTCTAAACCGTCATCGGTTTCTGTGGGCTAAAAAGCTAAAGCTTTGTTTCGCAAAAAAAAGTCTAGGGAAGATCCATCAAACTGACAGGTTTTGGCAAGCAGCAAGTTACTGCCACAGTCTGTCAAACGCACTGTGATATTTTCCAGTCCCTGTGCTTTCGAAAATTGAGAATGATGTCTTAGGCCTTCAAAAGGCCTAATAATATTTTTAGTAAGATATGGTTGGAATCCTAACTGCACATCAAGTCCAGTATTCTTCTGTTCCTGATTTCAAACTACTTTCATTATTTAATGATGATACATGTGATATAGAAGAATGTCCTTTGAAAGGTTGATCAAATGATGAAAATTTACTCATGTCATTTAATTGATATCTCAAATCAAAAGTCAGTAACTATGTCGAACGACTATGAATGTACATTACCAGTGACTATACATATTCCATACTTGCAATTGTATATGTTCTATTGCAGTTATTTCTTTTTTCCTCTTTATTATTATTCTTATTATTCTCTTTCTTCTAAACAGATACTTTTTGTGGACTTGTTTAAAAAAAGATGAATTATAACAATATTATTATTTTCTCACCGTGTTACAGGTCCTAGGTTGTTTTTTTTATTACCTCATTGTCATTACTACATGCCTAACAAGTGTGGGAGACAGGTACTTTGCCGCTCACACTGTCTTCATAACGACTTTTGGTATTTAGCTTTTAGCCATGAAATATGCTTATACATGTAGTTATAACATAAAAGCATCTTTCGATATAAAAAAGCCCACTCTATTTATACTGATAAAACATCAAGATGTTATAAGTAACTTCATGTCTATCTTGTTGTCAGGTTTCTGTTGTTTGATCGATTATCTGGATTCTACAGTTTTTCCTGTGTTTCACCTTGATCTGGTGCAAAGATCAACTCTAGAGGTATTCTCATCTAAACAACACACATAATATTGACATGTCCAACTTCAAAACACAAGAACTCTAGCTTTTACATTCATCAAGGCAGGGTTTGATATTGGTTCACTTTCCAGGACATGGATTGTCATCTAAAATGTCCAACAGATTGTTTTAAAATTTGGTATATATTTATATATAGTTGATAGGATGATGAAAATGTCCTCATGCCAATTGTCTCCATCAAAATCCCTGTATAAGTTCACAATGTAAACCACTCATGTAAACAAGCTTAACACGTGACAGTACCTGTATATTGTGCTTTGTGTGAAATGAATCTAAATAAATCCCACATTGATACTTCAGAGGCACAACATGCTGTGTCCCAGTGAGAGTTGGGTGAACCTGGATGACCCTCCCTGCCACGACACTGATGCTGTCATCCCCTCCAGTCCTACAATGAGGTCCACCAGCCTAATATGCCCCACCACTAGATCCTCCATCTTCTACAATAGCATCCTACAACAGTTTGAACAACCTATTTCCTTCCCATCCTTCATCCCAAACCAGTATCTGAATATTCATAATGCAGGTTTTTTTAGTCCAAATACTAGTGTGCTTCATTCAGACTATCCTAACTTTACTTCTAACTGTACTGACACTAATGACCTTCCTTCTATGTTTCTATTAGAGAGCAGACATGTATTCCCCAGCCGAAATCATACATCCCTCCATGCTGACACCAGTGGAAGCATATTCCCAAGCCCATGTGATATGTCCCTCCCTGCTGGCACCAGTGCAAGCCAAACCTCAATCGTCGAAGAGTTTATTGCTGAACTCTCACCACCTCATTTCATGCCTGTTACTATTTGCAGTGAATCAAGCCTGAGTCAGAACATCAGCCAGACCTCATTGGGTTTCGATGTTTCCACCTTCCAGCCGCTTCCAGTTGACAGCGAATGCAGCCTGCATCAAGAAACAATCAGCCAGACTTCACTGGGCCCGGATTTCGATGTTTCCACCTTCCAGCCTCTTCCAGTTGACAGTGAATGCAGTCTGGATCTTACAACAATTAGCCAGACTTCATTGGGCCCGGATTTTGATGACTCTACATTCCAGCCGCTTCCAATTGACAGTGAATGCAGCATAGGTGAAGCAGCAATCAGCCAGACATCATTGGGCCCAGATATCGCTGTTTCGAGCTTCCAGCCTCTTCTGGTCGACAGTGAATGCAGCCTGGATCTACCAACAATCAGCGAGACGTCATTGGGCCCAGATTTTGATGATTCAACATTCAGGAAGCTTCAGGTTGACAGTGCTTGCAGCCTAGATCAAGCATCAATCAGCCAAACGTCATTGGGCCCTGAGTTTCATGATGCCACCTTCAGGCTGCCTTCAATTACCAGTGCATGCAGTCTAGATGAAGAAACAATCAGCCAGACGTCATTGGGCCCAGATTTGGATGATTCCATCTTCAGCAGTGAAAGCAACCTGTCACAAGACTACAGCCAGACTTTGATGAAATCCATTGTCAGCCCTGTTCCTGGGAGCAGTGGTTCCAGCCTGTCTCAGACCAACAGCCAAGTATCAAGTATTGAGGATTTCAGTGAATCCATCCTCATAGCCTATTCCTTTCAGCTGTGAATCCAGTCACAATATATCAGCCAGAATGAATGAAAGTTTTGGCGAGAGGTCAATTTAACTTTGTCCTAGATTGACCGGTTTCTTTTTGAAATATACTAAACATGTAAAAGCAGAAAGAAACGATTTACCATTACCATACACCCCTTCTGCACTTGTAATGCATTTTCTCATTTCGGGTTTCTTTTGTATTTCTACAGATTTCTTCTTTGAATTAGTCCCAGGATAATAATCTAATGAAGGTTGCAGTGACTCTCCTGCTGTGAACCTTGGCTTCATTTCATTTCATTTCAGATCTATTCAGGTGCCATTACTGTGTCGAGCAACAGAGATCCAAGATCTAGCTCCAGCCAAAACTCCATCCACCTTGGTGACCCCTTCCTTGGCTCAGGACTCAAGATTAAGTTTGAACTTTATATATATCTGTGTTCAATAACAGTGACCCAGCTCCAGCAAAAAATCCACCTGCCCTTCTACTCTTTTCAGAAACTCTTAAATGATTGTCCCAAATACAAGCTGCTGGAACCATAACCTGATTCTGTGAAAGAGATTTGTCAGTGACATGATTCCCAGTCTCACTGGTAGCCAATGCAGTTCTTTCAGGACCGGTGTTATGTGGTTGGGAATTAAGCATTGTGTGATGAGCCTGACGCCTGTATTTAGCACACACTGTGTCTCGTGCAAATGACTTTGCTGAATGTCCTGCAGGAGATATTATTATTAGATTAAAGCACAAGATGCAGCAAATTGGGTTTGGGTGATCCTGGCACAGTCAGGCTGGTTCGGCTTATCATCAGCTCAGGGTTCTTGCCCCCTCTACACCCAGCCTAGACAGCAAATGGGACTTCTCCAAGGAAGCGCTGCCTAGTCAAACCCACTAAGAATGTTTTGGAGAAAGTGAAAACTCCCCAACACTGCAACCTTCTGCAATAAACATATTGTCAGAAGGGTTGTATTCCTAGCAACAAACCTGGGTACTCTCCCAATTTCAGTCAACAGATTGGGAGGTACCAAACCTAAGGCACCGAGAACAATGAGGAGTTGTCAACTTGGTTCTTGGGATGTAAGCGTGACATTTCGTAAGCGAGGTCTGCATATTTGCCATGTTTTTCCTCAATCTTGTTAATCACATTAGTGTCAAAAGGGACAGAAAATGCAATAACAGAAATGATTCCATTAGACTTTTCAGGTTTGTCAGGTTTGTTGGCCTGGACAGTATGATGTTTACAAGTTGGTAAACTTGTATGCAATTAATATGAGTCGATGGACTCCATGTTCGATGGAACAACGTGTTGAAGAAAACGCAACACAGCGGTAACCATGCTTGATTGTTTACTTGCTAATATTGTACAAGGGACATAACCTCGGTAATACTGCTAGTAAACATACCGCTAAACAAAAGGCTAAACACTACAACCTCTCCCCTCCTTGGATACTTATTGAGGGATCAATAATTAGACTGGCTAAATGACTTAGTTTAACCTATGAGTTAACTTCAAGAACTTGTGACAACATGAAATTGCCAAGACAAAATATACCTGTGAAAATCTTCACATTATTGCAAATATAGTCTCTTTGCTGAAAGTAATAATACTGATATCTATTGACTAGATCTTAAAACATAATCCAGCTTTCAATTAATGAATTAACTGAACACATAATTTCAAACACAGTTCAGGCTTCAGTTCACATGTGCACACATTTGCACATTGCACTTTACATGAAAAAGTCCTTGTATTTACTCGGAGGTCTTCGATCTCTTGTTGGATTTCTGCGCATAGGTACATTTGGTTCAACATGTTCAATAGGATCAATCACTGCTTGATCTTCATTGTCACTGACTGGAACTTGTTGACCATCACATTCAGGTGTGTCAACTGTGTCCTGAATATTGGAGTGAGTAGGATGTTGGGGTGACGTCTTAAAGAAACTGCTGTTTCTTGTTACCTTCCTCCCCCCACACTCTGCACTGATCATCGAGCCTTTTGTGGATGTTACTGTTAAAGGCACAGGCTCATATGGGGTGTTGGACTTCCTCATTGACATGTCTTTCAGGAGAACTGCATCCCCTTCCTTGAAACTGTGTGGCTTGACATAAGCCTTTCTGTCAGCATACTGCTTCATGGCAGCTGCCATGTCTCTCTGTCTCTTTTTCCTGTTTCTGGATTTTGATGACTTGGACAAACTAGGCAGACGATTTCGCAGATTTCTGTTAAACATGGCGGTTGCTGGAGGAACACCTGTTGACGTGTGTGGTGTTGTCCGGTAAGACAACAGGAATCGATACATTTCCTGTTTCCAGTTTTGTCCTTGTGCAATAGCACCTTTAATGCACTTTTTGATGGTACGCATGAAGCGTTCAGTTTCTGCATTGGCTTGCGGCCATAATGGAGTTATTTTCCGATGTTTGAATCCAGTGTGCTCTGCATATGTACTGAACTCGTAGCCATTAAATGGTGGGCCATTGTCCGTCTTGAGCTGATGTGGTATCCCAAACTCTGAAAAGATTTTCTCAAGTCTTGGAATTACATTGCGACCAGAGATGCCCTTAAGTATGTCTACAATGACATAACGTGAATATTCATCTTGCACCACCAGCAGATATTCACCAGTTGATATCTGACCGAAATCAGCACTAAGCTCTTGCCATGGTCCATCTGGCAATTCTGACATTTTGAGGGGTTCACGTGCTGGCAAATCAGTTGTGATTTGACATGTCATGCAGTTTTTAACCACATGTTCCACCATATTGTGCAATCCACGAAACCATATCTTCTCACGAAGCAGGGAAACTGTTTTCACGATGCCCTGGTGACCAGCATGAGCTAGATCAACAGCTTGTCTGCGTAAGCTTGGTGGCAACACAATTTGAGCACCTTTCAACAGTATTTGATTGTTCATGGCGACAGACAGTTCATTACGACACTTGTACAAAGAGTCATACACCTTGTCTACATTATTGCTTGACTTCCAGTTGCCTGTGTTCAAGGCCTGAATAACAGCTTGTAATACTGGGTCATTCCTTGTTGCCTTAGCAACATAGTCTGTCGTCATGGTTTTAGGGATTGCTGTGGTAACAACATAGTTAATGTATTCTTCAGCAATCTTCTCTTCTCTATGACTTGCACATATCTGGACTGGATGTCTACTAAGATAATCTGCCGGATTATCTGCTCCTGGTCTGTAGACAATCTTGAATTGATATTGCTGAATCCTCATCACCCATCTTTCAATTCTGGGAGGTAACGATGCCTTTGGGTTCCCGAACAGTGTAGTTAATGGCTTATGATCGGTGAATATGGTAAACACTGATCCAAACACATATATGTGAAAATGTTCACAAGACCAAGTGACAGCCAAAGCTTCCTGTTCAGTTTGAGAGTACCTCTGTTCTGTGGGTGTGAGCGATCTGCTTGCAAACTGAATCACTTTGGGTTTTCCATCTGAATCTGGTTGAGTAAGCACCGCACACAAACCAACAGGGCTTGCGTCAACATACAGCTCTGTATGTTTTTGTGGATCAAAGAAACTCAGTGTTGTCGCTTTACACTGTTCAGATTTCAGGTTGTCAAGGGCTGTTTGGTGTTTCTCTGTCCAGTCCCACTGAGCATCCTTGCGAGTCAGGTGGCGGAGTTCATAGGTTACTGTCGCATAATTTGGAACATGACGAGCACCACCTAAGTTCATCATTCCAAGCAAGCTCCTCACTTCCGAAACATTTTTGGGTGGTGGCATATCTAGGATTGCAGACAGTTTTGCCTGGCTTGGTGTTATGCCATCAGCACTGAACACATGTCCAAGAAACTCAATTGAATGCTTGTTGAAAACACACTTGTCACTGTTTAAAGTTAGTCCCATTTCACGGAGACGTTCAAACAAGGCATGTAGATTTGTGTCATTTGACTGTTGATCACCCCCATGGACCAGAATGTCGTCACTGATATTGATGACACCATTCAAACCACTGACAGCTTGTCTAATGGTTTCTTGGAATACTTCAGCAGCACTGTTGATTCCAAAATTCAAGCGTTTGTACCTGAATAATCCAAGGTGTGTGGCAAAAGTGGTGATATTCCGGGATTCTTCGACCAATTCAAGCTGGTTATAACCCTGATTAAGGTCAAGTTTGCTAAAAACTTTAGCCCCTGTGAGAATAGTTGTGAGTTCTTCCAGTGTTGGTGAGTTGTGTCTTTCTCGCTTTATGGCTGTATTTGGATATCTCATGTCAACACAAACTCTCACCTTGCCAGGACTACTTGGTTTAGGGACTACCACTAAAGGAGACACCCAGGGTGTTGGACCTGAAGCTCGTTCAATGACGTCACGTTCCAAATCAGATTTGATCTGGGTTTCTATGTCCTTCCTGACATGAAATGGTACACGTCTGTACTGTTGAGCCACTGGTTGAACATCTTTGTCGATATGCAACTGTACTTTCACATCTTTCAGCTTGCCGAGTCCCGTGAACAAATCACTGTATTCTGTAATCAGATCTTCAGATTTGCAAGAATACACGGATTCATGTATTTTTAGCAGATGAAGTTCCTGTGCCATTTGCCAACTCAACAAACACTCATCAACGTCAGACACGACACATATTTTCGCTTCAGCAGATGCGGTCTTCGATGCAATCGTGGCTGTGAAACGTCCTAGCACATGCACTGGTTTCTTCTTTCCATAAGGAAACACCTTTGTTCTGCATTCTTGTAGATTGGGTTTAGGTCGGAGGGACTGGTACACAGTTTTTGAAATTGTGTTGATAGATGCACCTGAATCTGCTAACATGATAACAGGTTGTCCATTAATCTTCATGGTGAACTTTGGAGATTTGGTTTTCTCACCTTGTGACAGAAAGACAAACTCATCTTCATCAGAAGTCTCTTCCCCGCAGTCATCAACCATGTGAACATTCTTCAAATGCCCTCGACCACGTGGTGCATTTGTATGTCCATCTTTACACGCATTGGCAAAATGATTTGATTTTCCACATTTCACACACTTTTTTCCAAAAGCAGGACAGTTTCTCTGACCCCCACTATGAGGCCAAGCACGTCCACAATTAAAACAAGTTTGCTGTTTCTGTGACTTCTCATGGTTATCATGGTTATCAGAAGTTTTCTGTGGCTTTCTTTTATGGTGCTTATGGGTCATGGCGTTTTCCTGGTGAGTGTTCACATTTTGGGATTGAGTGGAGGACTGAATTTGTTTGGAGTGTTCATGTGTAAGTTCTAGAGTTCTGGCATGAGTTAACAAATCAGCCAATGTCATGCCTGGGGTACTCAGGCCTTTCTCACGAACTTTGTTCGACTTGCAACCAGCTATGAGTTGAGATTTTACCTCCGCTTCAATTCTATCACCAAAATCACATGTGCTTGCATGCTGTCTCAGTTCATGATAAAACTCATCAATTGAATCCGACTTCTGTTTTAATTGACGAAAGCAATATCTCTGGAATTCCAGATTAACTTGTGGATTGAAGTGATTCGTTATCGCCGTGACAAGCTTTCCAAAATGTGTCTCATTGTCAATAGGGGTTAATTCACCTGCCGGTTTCGCATCAACGATGTCATTCAAATCGTCCCCAGCAAACGATAATAGCAACGCTTTCTTTTGCCTGTCATCTGTGATGTTATATCCGACAAACACATTGTTTTCCAATCGGGAGCGCCACTTATTCCACCTCACTAACTTCCCATCCGACTTGCAGTCAACTTGGTAACGATACAGTCACCGGTCCCGCGGGCGCAGGCGGTTGACGAACCTCACCGTCTTGATTATCTGCCATCGCTCGTCGCCAATATGATGTTTACAAGTTGGTAAACTTGTATGCAATTAATATGAGTCGATGGAACAACGTGTTGAAGAAAACGCAACACAGCGGTAACCATGCTTGATTGTTTACTTGCTGTCCCATAATATTGTACAAGGGACATAACCTCGGTAATACTGCTAGTAAACATACCGCTGAACAAAAGGCTAAACACTACAGACAGGTGTGAGGCTGTATACTGGCCTATTCCAAAGAATTTTGTATTGATGATTTTCCATGACGCCCTCTACATATTGTAGGTCATTCCATGGGTGGATTTGACTGATCTGGCACAGTCAGGCTTGTTAGGCTCATCATCAGCTCAGGGTCCTTGTCTCCTCTACATGCAGCCCAGAGAGCAAATGGGACTTCTCCAAGGAAGGGCTACCAAACCAAACCGTCCCAGAACGTTTCTGAGAATGTTAAGACTCCCTAACACTGCAGCCTTCTGCATTACCCAGATTGTCAGAAGGGCTGTATTTCTGGCAACAAACCCGGGTACTCTCCCAATGTCAGTCAACAGATTTGGAGGTACTAAACCTAAGGCACCGAGAACATTGGGGAGTCGGAAAACTTGGTACTTGGGATGCTAGCGTGCTACGTACTGACAGTAATTGGCAGTAATTGGCCCACAAGTGGTAGTTGTCATTTAGGCCGGCAGCGGTAGTTATCATGTCCCTGCTAGCGGTAATTGCCACGATGTTTTTACAACATTAGCTGCTATTTTCTCCAAGCAGCAGTAGTTGCTTCCAGGGCCAAAAGTGGAAGTTATCATGTCACTGGCAGCGGAAGTTGCCACAATCCTTTTACAACGGTAGTTGCCTTAGGGCAGTAGAGGGAGCTGCTCATTGACATTGACAGAGGTAGTTGCCATGACAACAGTAGCTTTTTGTGTAATTTACTTGAAGCTTAGTAGCACTAGGACCTGCACACCCTCAGCCCTGGTTGTTCTTATTGGCAAGGGCGTCCTGTGTGTGGTAACCAATAACCCCCTCCCTCTCCTTGGTATAACGTGCAATAACTACTATTTATTTCAGGGGATATATTTTGGTGGTGAAGGTGTGGCTATAAGGGGAGGAGGGTGGGGTGGGGTGGGGTGGGGTGGGGGGGGGGGGGGGGGGGGTGGTGGTGGTGGTGGGGGGTGTGTGTGTGGAGGGGGTGTGGAGGCCACCTTTACTAGTAATTGTTTGCTTGTTAAAAAATAAATACAAATCTGCCAAATTTGGTTTTACTGCATAACTTAGCAGTCATAATGAATCACTGATGTTTATTGATATGTATAATCTGCATGGTAAGCATATATATTAACAATGTACAGACTGCCTGTTGTTTATTTGAACTGCCAGCAATTACCATGGTTACTGTTATTTTATTCAGTGGATATGTTTTGGTGGTGAAGGTGTGGCTATATGGGGAGGTGGAGGCCACTTTAAGTGTAAAACAATGTATGTGTTTTCCCCTTGAAATATCTGACATACAATTAATAAGACAACATATTTTTTATGGACTTAATAAATACGATTTTAATTGCAGGCACAATTTTGTCTTATGTTTTTATTCCCATAATCAGTGAGTAAGTGAGCTGAGTTTAACTCTGCTTTAGCCAGTGTTTCAGTCATATCACAGTGTGTCTGTTCAAAGTAACAGAGGCTTGTAGTGGTTTCCCACTAATGAAATGCATGAGCACTGTACGAGGATGACAGGCTAAGTATCATGATTGGAACAAGAGTGGTCTTTGAACCTGTGACAGGCAGGTCCTGGCATGACAAACGCCACTGGGTCACACAAAGGACTGTCACTGGGGAGAGAATCAGTCAGAATGATTCCCATTTGACATAGTTATCCAAATAACACAAATAAATGGCTCTGAATAAACACTCTTAACCCAAGTAGTGAGGTAACAATAAAACAAATGATATTTTAGCATGCCTCAAAGTGAGATTGAGCAATCAGAGAGCAGAACTACTGACCCCACATGAGCCCGTATACCGTCAGTAAAAATCCAAGATGGTTGTTACTGACCTAATATGTGACGTGTACCGTCAGTAACAGCCATTTTGGATTTTCCAACACCCACCTCACATATTGCACATGAAAATTCTGGTACAGAAGTTCGTTATTCGACACTGTTCAGTGTTTTAATATCATTAATTTTGATGTGCAAGGACGTTAATGTTTTTGTTTGATCACCTTCATGATAAAGTGTATATAAAGTTAAAATTATCAACAAGGTTTTGCCTCTGGGGTTTGAAGAGTAGTCTCCCTTTGACCCTTAACGTTGTTAGTGTTAAGTTGTGAGTTTTAAGTTTTGACATGATGTGCGACAAACATACTAAATAGTGCATACTTTTCGGCATAATAAAATCGTGATGGTGTCTTTAGTTGCCGTATACGGTGTCATATTAAATTAGCAGAAACATATTGGGCTCGGCTGACGGTTCCCACTATTGAAATGCATGAGCACTGGTATGAGCCTGACAGGCTATACGTATCATGATTGGAACAAAAGTGGGCTTGTCAAAAAACCTTATCAAATAAATACAAGCATGCTGTGGAGTATTTATGCCATTCCTGTAAGCTGCCTTGAGTAGGAAACAAAATATATAGCAGGAAAACCTTGCCTAGAGTCATCAACACAGTGCTAAAACTCTCTCTGTGTGCCCGAAAGTGTTGAGAGTGTTAAACAATAATTATATATTTACCCTTAACATCTTTTACATGACGACAGTACATTATGTATTCGCACTGTTAAGGCGGGTGGGTGAGTGAGTGAGTGAGCTGGGTCAAACACCGCTTAAAACAATATTCCAGTGTGTCGGCTTAGTGTGGGAGGAAAGCCCATGGGGATGCCGGTCTCAGACGTTTACCACTTTGGTGAAACCCAACGAGCATGGGTATGGTGCTGAGAAACCTAGAAACATAACCGGGGCGAACCGGAATTGAATCCACGACTATAGGTATCTGGCGTTTCTAAGGGACGCAACTCTTCACAGCGAATTGCGGTGCCTTAGACAACTGGGTCACCCTTGTCCCACCACTGATAAAAGTGAACCTATGAGACTACAGTACACAAAGCAATAAACGTCAAACTTGAAAAATCTCTCAGATGATGATACTATCACAAATCTATTGCTGTAGCCTTTCGTGAAAGTTTACACACCAATTATTTCTTTAATAGTCAATAAAGCGTACATACACTTCTGAAAAATTTACCCTTGATTAGGCGAAGTGTCAAGTATACATGCTGGAATTCAAGGTGTCTTTAAAAATGTAAACATTTAGGTCTTCAGCAACCGCTGATTGCTGTAAAAGGCGACTGTGCTTGTCGTAGGGGCGACTAACGGGATCGGGTGGTCAGGCTCGTTGACTTGGTTGATGCATGTCATCGATCCCAATTGCGTGGATTGATGCACATGATATATATCAATCGCTGAATTGTCTGCGGCGTTAAACAACAAACAAACAAACAAATATTATACCTGGAAACATTGAAAGGAGGAGGAAACCGTGAGCACAGTGTTTTGGCGTGATTCCGTTTATTAACGTGCAAATTATCATTAGAATTACAAACTAATTACAAACATGTTATCCTAAACAAAATGCAATAAGACAAATAAATGTAAAAATTTTCTATGGTAAATAATACAATCTATTTAACAATAACTACGGTAATTGTGTTTTCATATTAGCATAGTTTATAAACCTAACTCATATACAGAAAACACAGTGTGATATTGAAACAATACCAAACATGTAACTATCATAGTCATACAGTACAAATAACACCAAAGGCTCCTAGTACATAGGGATTACAAGTGTGGGTGGAGGCTACGGAAGCAATAAACCATGACACAGGGAAGGGGGGGGGGGGGGGGGGGGGGGGTAGAGAGAGAGACTGCGTTCAGACAATGATAGGACATTCTAGATCATTGGGGATAGTAATCCGACTTTTTCACTTTTCGTGTCGCAGCCCTGTCTGATCTCAAATGGGAGCCATAATCGACACTGTGTGAACCTGGCCTTAGAAGTGATTCCGTTGAAAGTATTGATTAGTACGTGTGCTTCGCCCATATATACCCATTTACCCCGATGGCCACGCTCACAGTTTTCATTCAATATGACCAGTTCACATAATAAAATACAAGGCGCAATTGTTTTGGTACCTTAGGTCCATTGTGGGGACAGTGATACCCGAAGAGGAGAGTTACCCCTGCACAATAGTTAAACTGACTTTTCATATTTTATTACACAACAATGCACACATACATTTTCTGTGTGTTGCCAATTGAGCGATTATGCTCTTACCAATTTACCAAAAGTGATTGACGAGTACACAATAAACCCAAAGTTATAAGTGATCATATGTTTTGTATCCAAAAGAATTTAATCTTATAGTAACAAAATAAATAATTTTGAATTAAGCTTAATTAATAAAACATATTTCATATAGGTTTGCTTAATTATAGCGGTAACAACACCATTCCCACTCTTCTACAACGGTGTATCGTTATCTCTGTTGTACCGCTCGTAGAATCTGGATCCTTTCATCCACTCCTCATAGACCCTGTAATAGTCGTCCAGCATGGAAGCAGAGAACCACTTCCTCCACTCCCCAGAGACGCCTGCAAGAAGTGAGATGAGGTCATGTAGCGTTTTCCTCAAGATGGTTAACATTTGAGGAATCCGGGATAAATAGGTTCCAGCAACCTATGCTGATTGTACGAGATGACTTAATGGACTGGGTGATAAGGTTCGGTAATGCCATTGCATGATACGTTGCTCATAATAGCAATCACTGGTTTGTGTGGTCCAGACTTAACTATTTACAGGCAGCAGTCATATTGTTGGATGCGGCGATAAACAAGAAAAAATCAAGCCAAAGAAGGAAAGAAATATAATCACCAATACTCTAAGTATTTCACTGCTGCCTGGACAAAATCGTCTGGGCAGAAATCCCAGGGGTTGATAGCATGAGCAATGATACAGCTGCCAGATTACGATGACACATAATTATCAAGGTCAAAATCACAGTCCAAAAGTAGGAAAACCTGAGTCCAACAATCTTTTTTTTGTCTAGTAAGTTAGTATTTAATAACGGTACCTTTCCCGAAAAGATAATTTGCACCATCAATCTTCATAGCATGGGCATCTTTGGCTGATTTCATATTTGAGAAGTGGCATTTCTCAGCAATTGCACAGCACAGGGCATCATCCCTCTTTAGTCCCAAAAAGTCAGACAAAGCCTGCACGGCTGCCACTGGATCCTGTTAAAAAAGTATGTGACGTTATTACTCGCACAGTGTATATTTGTTATAGTCACGGTCCTTTGTAGTCTATGCAAGATCATGTTGAATCCCGGTTCGCCCCGATTATGTTTTAGGTTTGCTCGTTGGCAGGTTTCACCCAAGTCGTAAACGGTGTCTTACCGGAGGATCGACTTTTGTGATAATAGTAAAAATTGCTTTGATGTTGCCCGCTGGTAATGTGATGTTACAGAGGATTAAGGCACTGGGCTAGTTTAAAAGTACAACTGTGTTCCGAAAAAAATGGTTCCACTGGAGAATACGTTATTTGAGTATTTGCTCACTCACGACCAGACAGTGAGTTCAACTACAGGTATATGATACGAGTTCACTCAGATAAAGATGTGGTAATGTGATGACCATTGCTAATGTGAGTTCACTCACTTTGGTTGTTAGGGTATAAATGCCGAAATAATTTTGAGACACTGTCTACGCAGGGAACAGCTAAGCTTAAATTTCTGGGCCGCGTCCAAATCAAACCCTCTCATTCAAAACTTAATAAACCAAAACATCAGCCCCCAAAACCAAGCTCTAGCTCGTAAACACCCCTTACTTACCCCAATATCCCAAATAATAACAAACTACCTAAATGAACACCAAATTAAAAATCTTAAACAAAACTGCAAACAATCAAATATCTTCACCCCTAAACTTAAAATACCCAAAATAGACACAACACTAGCTAGCCAAATAAATAAACAAACCGACCCAAACATAGCTAAAACTACCACACTAGCATACATACACGAAAATTGGTCAAATTGGTGTCACATTTACACGGACGGATCCTCAGATCCGACCTCCAAACACACAGGTTTCGGAGTCCATACCACACAACCAACTAAAACCACACAATCCTTCCGACTCCCAAACAACCAATCAATATTCACGGCAGAACTAATGGGCATGGCCTCAGCCCTCCATAATCAAGAATCCAAAAACCACAAAAAGATCCTAATACTTACCGACTCCCTAAGTGGACTGCAAGCCCTCCAAAACAAAAATACCAAAAACCGACCTAAATTAATAAATCAAATACTTAAAAGCTCCAACGACCTAACTAAGGCAGGCAAACAAATAACCTTATTGTTGATACCCGCCCACGTAGGAATATACGGTAATGAAAACGCCGATAAAGCAGCTAAACTATCCCTCAAAATCCCAGAAATAAGCTTATACTTACCCATCTCAAAATCAGAAATTAAAAGTGTAAACAAGCAAAAAATCACAAAAAATGGCATAACCTATATCTAAACTCAAATAGCCAAATCAAAAAAGTGCTCAGCAAACCACTAACCAAACCAAAAATTCTCCATCCATCAAAAAAATCGACAGAGTAATCACTAAACTCCAAACAGGACACACCAACCTAAATAACCACCTAAAAAAAATTAAAAAAACATACTACAGGTAACCGCCCACACTGCAAACAACCAGAAACCCCAGAACACGCACTCATCCACTGCACACACTACCTAACACATCGAACCGCATTACAAACCACCCTCAATCTAAACAAGGCTCTCACTCTAGAAGAAATACTAAACCCACAAAATAAACTAGAAAACTTCAAGGCCTTAGGCGTATTCTTAATCAAAACGGAACTAATAAAACGCATCTAAAAACACAAAATGGTGTGACAAACCAAAATATAGTATAAAATACAGAATTGATCAACAGCCCATCTTCCTCCTAAAACTGATTTGGACACCCAAACTAACCCAACTGATGTTAAGAATTCAAGTAATCCAACCTTTAAAGTGTCTTCGTAAGGCTGGAAGTGAACAGGTTTATCTGGGTTTTCTTGGAAATACTTCTCAGCTTCTCGCAGGTGTTCAAATATGCCATTTTTGTTTACTGCAAATAAATAACACGTAAAACGTATTTTCTGTTATCACCATTTCACACAAAGTGCCACAATGAAAACATTTCCGAACGAACCCGACATTACTGGTGGAGAAATATCTTTCTCTGTAAACTGATGTAGTGTTTTCTTCAAAGGAGAAGAACTAGTAAAATCCTAGATATCTTTTTATATCTGTATACTTATCCTGCATTACTTCTTAATGCATATTACTGCTTGTTTTTGACAGAGAAAAGAGCTGTGTGGTCTTTGGTTGAAGAAGCTGTTCCAACTAGCTGAGAGGTCTACCCTATCACGCAGCTCCCACGTGACCAAAGGAAGTGACGTCACGGATCCTCCCATTACTCTGGAGTCCGTAACATCGGAAGGCATCGCGGGGAGGCAGCTCTGCTATGGGTGGGTCTCTTTAGATGCAGTAATGCTGGATAAGTATACAAATATATAAAAAAAATATCTAGGATTTTACTAGATTTTTTTACTTATCCTGCATTACTCCTTAATGTATCTTTATTCGACGGAATCGGTGGTGGGCATACCTTCAGATCTGGACTTTCATCTTTTTTTCAGACTCTGTTCCCTTAGCCAAATCTTGACAGTGTGTATGGTTTCAGGTGACCACTCCATGTATGGGAACCTCCATTTCACTCAGCCCGTCCTCGGCTGTGTGGTTGGCATCAATGACCATTACATGGATGGGAAGAGTCAGGTATGCGTTGTGTCATGGTACTACAATAACTCTCTCAAGTTAAGGCCTTAGACCCGTGTACCGAGCCGTATGCAAGTGGGGCGTGAACCTTCTAGTCCACGGCAATACGCCAGGGAAGGTTGAAAGGCCGGCTCTGGATTGGAGGAGAGGTCAGTGACGTTTAGTATTTGTGACCTGTTGGGCCACTACTAACGGACCAAAGCTGTGCGTGCCCTGCACATCCTCCTATGCGACGTCTCGCAGGTAGTGACTGGCGAAGACTGTGTTTGATCGCCAGAAACACCCCTCCATGATGGCACGTACACAGCAGTTGCTCTGTAGCGCCATAGTGGAGGCGATCGCCCGGATCTCATGCAGATTTTTGGAGCGTGAAGGGTCCAATCCCACTGTCTCGTAGGCCTGGAGAATGATGGCTCGTAGCCAAACGGCGATCGTGTTGCGGCTGACTTCCGCTCGCGAGGTCACAGATACCAGTATGTCTATGGCGTTCCTTGGATCGTCCAATGTAGCAAAGCAGTGCCCTAACTGGACATAGCCGGAGCTCTTGTTCATCTTCTGTGCCCACAATCGATGATAGGGTATTAGGAAGACCTTCTTTTTCGTTCGATTGTAGAATGACATAGCTTCGAGTGGTTCGAAGGGCGCGTCTCTCAGTGAGGTGAGAATGACATTCAAGTTCCAAGCTTGTGGACGAAATTTCGCCTTTTGGTCTTCCAGCCAGATTGAGGAGCAGAACCTGTAGTTACGCGGGACAGAGGGCCACAAGGTAGGCCCTTGAGCTTACGCTTGTGGCGAAGATAGGGCATGAACTCGGCTAGGAATTGAGGTAATGCAGATGTGGGGTCTTGTTGTTTGCCCCTGCAAAAGCTCTCCAAGGATTGCCAATTGTTGTCATAGAGGCTCCTGTTGGTCGAGTGAGTAGCCATCGTGATGGCCCAAGCCGCTCTGGCCGAGTAGCCTTTGGCATTCAGTGCTCTCTGTAAATGGACCAGACGTGAAGACATAACCTGTCTGGTCCTGGGTGTGGCTGTCTGCTGTGATGGTGGATCAGAAGGATTGGCCAATCTGGGAGTGGCAGTGGGTTGGCGTCAGTTAGCTCTATGAGGTCGGTGAACCAAGGCCTCACGGCCCACCAGGGCAGGACCAAATTCAGATCAACGTTCTGTGTCGATCTGATCTTCTGGTCTCTGGGTACAGAGAGGAAGTCGAGGTGTGTCTGGAAGAGGTCCCTGATGAACTGAAGGCGATTTGAGGATGTCTACTCTGACTTCCTGAGGTTGATCTTCCAAACCCAACTGGTATAAGAGCCGGAGGGTGAAGTGCCTGTGGCTAAGTAGAGTGACAGTGTCCCAATGATTCAGGAAGCAGTCGTCTTATATGCCTCGAACTGAATGTCCCGGAGATGGAGGTACGAGGCTATCGGTTTGGTAAGCCATGTGAATAGCCACGGGGCATAAGAAATTCCAAATGGGAGAACGGCCCATTGGTAATGGACTCCCATGAAGATGAAGCAGAGGAATTTCCGGTCGTTGCGATGTATAGGCACATTTAGGTAGGCGTCTTCGATATCCAGGCTGATGAGTACACCCTGTGTCTGGTTCCTGGATCGCAGTAGCCTGAGCGTGGTCATCCTGAAATAAGGTGTACGTGCCAGGTAGCGTTTGTTGAAAGCGAAGAGGTTGTGGATCATCCTGCGTTTGTCCGAGTCCTTCTTGGGGACTAGGAAGACAGGTGAATAGAAGCACAGTGTTATGGCTGGGGCGTGCAGTTCTGGCTTAGTAGCTGCTGTTGGGTAGGGGGGTAGGTGTCCTTGGGGAAGTCGAGTCCTCGGAGTAATGAGAGTAGAGGAGACATTCATGCCCCATGACAGAGAAGGCGTCTGTATAGTCGACCGACGAGGCGCTGGCAAAGATTGTATGTGAGGATCCGTGATGTCATTTCCTTTGGTCACGTGGGAGCTGCAAGATAGGGTTGGCCTCTCAGCTAGTTGGAACAACTTCTTCAAGCAAAGACCTTCACACAGCTTTTTTCTCTGTCAAGAACAAGCAGAAATATGCAATAATGAGTAATGCAGGATAAGTAAAAAATATCGCTGTCATCCAACCTCATTTATCTCATTGTTTATGTTTTTGTCAAAATTTGAAACAGACCCTTTTCAGTTTCCTTTTGTCTCAAACGATCACAACACTACTGTGGCAGAAATGTGAGCTGCCAAAACCACTGTGCTCAATACAACTCTGCATAACGTTTTCATTATGTTTGCTTGTCTCAATCTTTAACAAATACTTACAGTTTCTGAATACCAAACACAACCGAAAGAGAAATGGACCCAAACCTCTTTGCTCCAGGAATAACTGGAGGAAATCTTCAAATGTTCCGTTGTAAACATTCCCACAGGCGTCGCGATGACCATGATGCATCTTATACAACGATACTGCGACGTCCTTAGGGTCACGCACCGTGAAGATGACACGGCACTTCTTCTCCTTCAGGTCTGACGGCGCATGTGTCAAGTGGTTATGACAGTTGAGGACACGGGGCGAGGGTTGGTTGTCAAGGTCTTCAGTAGGAGTTATCTCCAGATAGTCCTTAAAGCGGGTTATGGTCTCAGCTTGACCACTGACCAGCATGCACGTCATCTCCCATACCCAGTGCCCGCCTGAACCAAAAGATGAAGACAGTACCCATCAGTGGGATAACCATTTATCAAATACTGATCTTTAATGGAAAGATGTATCGATGACGATCCTTATTAGATAAATGTGTATCCAGCATGTTAGCCTAACATAACAAACAAGAGTCCCAACGTTACATATTAATTTACATGTAACCATGTGTATCCATTGTATACGTAACATGTATGTGTAGCCAAAGTGACATGCAGGAGCGAGATCATGCAATACTCTGTTAAGCATTTTTTTGTTGAAAATATATAAGTTATGGTTTTGCAATATGTTTAGTATCCCAGATCCCCTAAAAAAGATCCAAATTCAAAAAAGTTTGGTAGTATACAAAATATATAGATCAACTGAAAATCTTCACACCCAACGACCGCCTCCGTGGTCTTGTGTTAGAGCGTCCGCCCGGAGTGCGGAAGGTCCGGGGTTCGATCCCCGGTCGCGTCATACCAAAAGACGTTAAAAGATGGTACTTGTTGTTACCCTGTCTGGCGCTCGGCATTAAGGGGCTAAAACAAGGACTGGTCGGCTCGGAGTCAGTATATTGTGTCTGAGTGGGGTATTCATGTTAAACTGCGGCATGGTATCTCAGTGAGCTAGCACTATAAATCGGCATCAGTCCGGACTAGTACAAGCAGCCACACAAACACACACACGTACATGCACGTCGCTATATAAGTGCAATAATCTTTGAGGCGACGTTAAACCCAATTTCACCTCACCTCACCTCACACCCAACATTCTCCCACACATACACAGCCTCACAGAATGGGTGTATTGGCTTTGGCACTATGCCCAATACAGTTTCTGTTCATACTACCGCAAAGCTATCCCAATACTACTGCACTGATGGAATACTGACAACAGATTTCCAATAATGATTAACCGTAGTAAAATACCCTTGTCATTCTTCTACTGACCATACTTTTCAGATGGGTTAGCAGCCGTATAAAAGAGTTTGTTATAAAAGGAAATATGAAGCAATAGCAATATGAGGTTCGTCAATCAATGGATCAATAATCCACTGTATGCAGTTTGTACTTCATCTTGATTCTTATTGGGATTTGTATTTCATCATGCAGTGACCTACTTGAGAGGGCATCTTATCGATTGAGATATGTTGGAACAGTACTGATTAATGATTAAACACACATCATTGCTCAAAATATAAATCACTGGTTTATCAGGTCAAGACTCGATTATTTACAGTGCGGCAGCTTTCTCGTGCTTTACGGCACTAATTTCAAATTGGCGACTACGCTTCAAAACATATTTTGACAATTTCTCGCTTAAAAATTTGAAACCTGAACAAAAGAAAGTTCTAGAATGGCTAATATATGGTCTAGATTGTATAGATTAAGTCGTTAAGCCTTTAACTATCGTTCGAAATACCCCGTTTTAACGTTTCCGAGGCTGCATGATTAGAAATCACATTGCTACTGTCAATTTCATGATCTGGTAAGCGACGCTCTGATTGGTCGGATGAAAGGTTCTGACGTGACCCCTAATGGGATGTCCTCAGATCTTTGTTAAGCGGTAGCGAGAACTAAGAACTGATTTTAGTGAGATTGTTTGTTGTTTAATGCCACACTCAGCAATATTCCAGCAGTCTGTAAATAATCAATCTGGAACAGACAATCCAGTGATTGATATCAAGAGTATCGGTTTAAGCAATTGGGATAGGATGACATGCATCAGCCAAGTCAGTGAGTCTGACAACCGGATCTCGTTAGTCGCCTCTCACGACAAGCGCGGACGCATGTGACGGCAGCATGGGTTGCTGAAGACCTTTTCTCACCCGGATCTTCACGGGTCCTTTGTTTAAGTACATTCAGGTTTCTGTTAATGTCATTGCATTTCTTTTTTTGAGTTTCGTGATGTCATTGGCGCTGGAAATTGTTGATCTGCAGGTCTTCTCAACGAACAATGAGTCCGAGGAGCTTATAAAAGTGTCTGTGACAACTAAAGGCAACCATAGTCACCGTCAACAATCTCACCTGTTCTTAGATACCCAGGGAAGTAGATGTCATCTGGACGGAGCTTGAAGTTTCTGACTTTAATTAATCTGACGGGATTAATAAAGCAGGCACACCGGACACCTTCAAACATTTGAAACAACAGGCTGTGTCCATGTCGGTCTTTCTCCCAGACAATATCTTGCCCTTTCAGATCCACCTCTAGTGCCTTGCCATTGACCTGAAGACATCGTTTGAAACATAATAGTTTGCAGTGGCGGACCGTTAAACCATCGTGTCTCGAAACGATGAAAGCATTTGTGGTTAGTGATTCTGTTTCTGTGGCAATATGGTGTGTAATGTTAAAGTGAAAGGGGAGCCAGAACGAGGCAGGCCGTAAACGTTTACCACTTTAGTGACACCATCGTGCACGGCAGTGGTGTGAACAACCTTGCACAAGCACAGAGCACAATGCAATGCGAATGGCGTTGATTTAGACCACTCGTCCACTCGTGCACTTTGTGATCACTTAGTACCCTCTTTGGAATATTGCTGAAAGTCAAACCAAGATCTTCGCTGTACCCCTTGAGTTGGGGGTGGTCTCAAAATATTGCTGATTTTGTACCTTATTGAGATATGTGTTGATGGGGTTACCAAGTAAGATATGTACTACATTATATTTGCTTGGAAAAAAATAGTGGAAGAGTAAAAAGTTATGAAACGGGATGAGTATTGGAAGGTTGGGGTTTTTGAATCAAGAAGTATTTGTTGTTCTAAAGATGAATCTGAATCAGTACTATCACCCAAAGATGTGATAACTGCTGCAACTGACATCTACGCCGTCACATTTGCGGTACTGACGTTCTATTTCAAGAACATGATCTTCAGCCTTTTGCCATACCTCTTTTCTGATTCTAGAAAAGGCTGTGTTGACCAAGCCTTTGATATGTGTGAGTTTCAATGTTGTGTTGTCTTGCCACGAACCCTTTACAGTTAGCCCAGATAAGCGCAATAGGGGTGAGCTCACAATGTGTGACTGGCGTATGCAAGACAACGTGACCGTGTCATGCCGCCTGGACAACTGACTTGTACTTTACTGCTGGCTTTTTCAGGCGACATTTCTCCACAAGATTCGTGTCAGATGGTCAGGAGTCGACATTACAAGATGTCAGAAGTCTTTTCCTTTGTAAAGCGTGTTTTTGTTACAGTCAATGTATAAGATGCGATTCACTCAAACAATGTATAAAATGTCTAAAAATCTGTCCATTTATTCAACAGAAGATTAAGACGCTTAAAACATCACAATAGACTAATTATGCTAGGATTAGAAGCCAAAACTATATATATTTACTCTGAATTTCGTTTTCTTTTAATCCTATCATTTTCAGTCACTGGGTGACGAAATTAAAACATAATAACATAAATGGACAGATTTTTCAGTCAATTTGTAAAATAACTGAATATTTAGGCGTTTGATAAACTGCCTAAGTGAAAATTGTACACATCTTGACTATAAAATATACACAGGATAAAAAAAGCAATGCTCAGGTGAAATATTTACTTTGTGTTGCAAGTCAAAATAGCGTAAACGAAAATCGCACAATACCATGCAAGCTTATCAAAACTTCGTCACCATTACCGATGATACCCACAAAGATGCCTACATTTCCTTATCATTTCCAATACTGCATTTCATGTTGTTTATCAATGTGACCATACGCCCTTTTACTATCAATAAAAGTGACAAATGTGGTTAAGAAGGGCGCGGCACAGGTCGCAAACTAGTCTAGATTTCTGCTATATCATCCGGGTACTCACGGGGAAAAACAATAACAAAGGCAACAACCAGTCCCGGGGACTTGCTGTAGATCAGTGTCCCTTCAGTTAACTCCCCTGCCTCGGGAAGATGGCTTTGTGTGTGAGGTGACCAGTTGATTATTAAGTGATAAGGATTGATGTCCGTCTAGCATTGATTTGGCTGATGTTGAAGCCATTGTGATAGGAGGCCTATTTTCTTTATATATACCTTCTGTTTTGTCACCGCCGCCTCCGTGGTCTTGTGGTAGAGCGTCCGCCCGGAGAGCGGAAGGTCCGGGGTTCGATCCCCGGTCGCGTCATACCAAAAGACGTTAAAAGATGATACTTGTTGTTACCCTGTCTGGCGCTCGGCATTTAGGGGCTAAAACAAGGACTGGTCGGCTCGGAGTCAGTATACTGTGTCTGAGTGGGGTATTCATGTTAAACTGCGGCATGGTATCTCAGTGAGCTAGCACTATAAATCGGCATCAGTCCGGACTAGTACAAGCAGCAACAAACACACGTACATGCACGTCGCTATATAAGTGCAATAATCTTTGAGGCGACGTTAAACCCAATTTCATCTCACCTCACCTCACCTCTGTTTTGTCACAACTCATCCTGTTTGTCCGCTTGTTGAATTAGAAGACCAGGAATATTCTCAAACTGTCAAAACTCACAACCAACAAGCTGATATATATGTGACATTCAGATCTAACAAGCAAAACGAACATGCCGCCACACAACACAATAATGCTGACATGCTAATAACTACCTTTCATCAAGTGACTTACTGTATATACTGCTTGCTTGCTCTCTGTCGCCATAGCTTGTCGCTGAGATGGGGAGAGAGGTATACGGACAATGAGGACAGCCCTCACGCAGGAAGTAAAAGGTCAATAGGTCATGTACGCGTGACTCTCCATCCCTAAAAATTAATGAAGAGGCCCCGCAGGGGGGGTTCACGTTTAAGTAGAGGGGAGTTACGAGGATATTCACCAATTTAAACACATCCCTACTTTTACACTTTGACAAAATATTCTCTTGTTGAAATTAGATGAATCTCTGCCGCTGCTGCATGTGCACCAAGCTCCGTCGCGAGATGATATTTACAATGCATGGTACATGGCTCTTCATAATTTTGTGGGGTCCTTGACTAGTATATTATCAATCGCTAAGTCCGGTTAATCCGACATGGTTGGTTGCATATGATTTTGTCGGATTAACGAGTATATCGGATAAACGAAATTAAGTTGTATCAACTTTCGTGATCGAAAATCGGACAACTACACGATATATGACGATACAATCACATAATACAAAATTGAAATATTCATGTTGTGTAACATTGGAGTCACTGGAGCGTGAACCACGGTAACGGCATAGCGAGACAACGGGTGGAGCTGCAACCGGTAAACTGCATTGTTGCAGTAAAGCGGACCGTCTATATACACGATATCGTGCAAATAGTGGACCAATGCCGTGCTATATACACGACTGGAAAACTCCCTTCTCCGCCGTGAGACGCGAACGCTGATTGGTCCTACACACAAACCTGGTTCCCGGTCTCAGTTGCGCTACGCTACATTGTACATTACTCCCCAAAATGTTAACTCTACACTATAGTGCGGACATCGTTTCTAAAGAAATATATCAAAGATAATAAAAATTCTTTCCTTGTTGTTAAAATTGTAATTTCTTCTCTAAACATCTGTGAAGATATAAAGGTTTGCTGAGGTAGATAAACCAGGTATCACAGTTAGTTAAAAGTTTTGCAGTCGTACAGACATGTTGTGAATATAGAGATCATAAATATTTGGAGTAAACATACTTTACCAAATGAGATACTAGTATAACGAATCAGAATATTTATAGTTTAGTTCTGTTGAACAAATTAAAATCAAAACATAATTTCCCCTCTTAAAATACTACGAACCTTCTGGTAAAACAAAATTTACGAACTTTCTGTAAAAGAGCAAGCAATCTGAAGCAAGCATCTATTTTCCGCGTTTATATTGTTAAGGCTGTGGTTATTTATACTGAAAAGATCAGGGAGTTAACTCTGAAACTAAATACTTCAAACAATCAAACTAGTGTAAGCGATTCTTGGATTTGATATACATGTATGTATGTATCTACATATGAAATATAACTATAAATGCATTGAATATGTGTGACTGTGTATCATATGTCAAACTTGAAATCTTACTTTACCTAACATTTGGAAGGGAATCCTGCGTTTTCCCATATCGGTTGCAGGATTAACATCTTAAAACCTTGTTCCAAAACTTATGCTTTGACAGACACTTAATACTTTGAATTGTTTCCCCCAATGATAACATGTACTTGTATATAATGTTCGTAATCGCTACTGATCGATCAAATAATATAACCCGTGATAACATAACGTGTGAGTATCGTGTGCTGTTATTCCCACGATTTCGTGCATATTATGGTAAATGTTTCATTATTTACACGATATATCGTGTTAAAGTTCTGTTATTTACACGATGTCGTGCATATTGTGAGAAATTGTCTGTTATTTACACGATGTCGTGCATATTGTGAAAAATTGTCTGTTATTTACACGATATCGTGCATATTACTAGAAATTGTCTGTTATTTACACGATATCGTGCATATTGGGATAAATTGTCTGTTATTTACACGATATCGTGTACATTGTGGAATATGTACTCCTTATGTACACGATATCGTGCATATTACGAGAAATTGTCTGTTATTTACACGATATCGTGCATATTGGGATAAATTGTCTGTTATTTACACGATATCGTGTACATTGTGGAATATGTACTCCTTATGTACACGATATCGTGCGAAGGGACGGTACCGCTACGCCAAGAAAGCTGCTTTCTTAGTGGACAACGTTCACTTCCTGTTACTCATTTCATTGGTTGGTCATAGTTCGCGAAAGGTTGTTCTGACGTGACGTGAATGGGATGCCCTCGGCGACAGTGAGAACTTGTATCTGATTTTAATGAGATTGGGTAATCTAGGCATGTGATTAATCCTGTTTCCTTTATTAAAAAAAGCATTAATTGTTCATTGTTAAGCAAGTTTATCTATTCAGCCATTGAGATCACTGTGAAACTTTACCCGTAGAGGCCGTTATACACGCCCGAAAACTGTTTCTGAACGCGTCTGTAAATTATGTAATAGCCAAACTGTTGAAGATGAAGTTCACTTTTTGGTAACGTGTGATTGTTATAGAGATCTAAGACTTAATCTCTGGCAGAAAGTATCCCTTGTTAACCCCTCGTTTATTACCACGTCTCCTGCAAACCTAACCGTATTCTTAATGCAGTGCGACGATCTGGTTAAACCACTTGCTGCATTAGCCTTCTCAATGTTTCTGAGAAGAAAATATAATATAAAACAATAAATTGGGTCGTTGTATACATGTGATAATTCCTATCATCTATCATGTTGTTTTGCTGTGTTGTAGGGTTGTTGTATGGAGATGCTGTGAGTTGTGATGAGTGACTGGCCCGTAAGATTGTGCTGTATGCTTGTTTCATATTGTCGGGTTTGATTGTGTGTGTATGTGTATGTGTGTTGTTTAGTTGGGAGTGTGTACATGCGACAGTGGATTGTTACTTTGTTAGTGTCTTTGTACGTGCTTCTTTTTTAGTGGAAGCTGGAAAGGATGTGGATGCGAGTGGGGCGTGGTTGATAATGCAGATAAAGGGAGTGAGTATGGATGTGGGAATGGATGCAGGTGAGGGTATGTTTTAGAAATAGGGTGTGCGTGAGGGTAATCTGCGACGGTGTGGGTGAGGGTTCGGATGTGATTGAACGGTTGTCAATGAGTGTTTGGATGTGTTTGAATGAGCGGGTGTGTTTGAGTGGTTTGAGTAAGCTGCTGTGAGTGAAGGCCTGAATGTGGGAATGGATGTGGTTGTGTGTGTATAAGATGTTTGTATGGGGGAAAATACTATGAATGTTGTTTTTATAATTACTATTAAATGTGGTGTGTACATATAAAATAATATTGGTTTTCTTTTAGTCTTTTAGTGTCTCGTGGGCCATTTCGACCGGCCGCTGAGTTTTTACATTCTTGCCTTGTCATTTTATATGTACAGCGCGTGACACTATAATAAACTATTCTTCTTCTTCTTCTGTAATATGCAGCTACCAGCCGACTCGTCTCGCGTCAAGACACGGGGCTGGGTACTCGCGGGCAGATGACCACGGAGTACGCTGATCACTGTGTCGGATTAACGAGTCTGATGAGTGATTTCGGTAAATCGTTGCAAATTAGGTGTGTCGGAGTCGGTTCCCATCATCATTAGTGTCGGATAAAGCCGATTGTCGGATTAACGAGACTTGACTGTATACATGTTGACGGGGATCATAGAAAATATAGGGCCCCGACCAAGGAGTATGCTATAATTGTGAACATTGTTATAAGTAACCTGCTCTAACACAACATTACATGAATATGCACATTATTTTTGAAATTTTCAGCATTGTGCAAAATTATGATATTGTTAATTTCACATCATACCCGTGTCGCCGTACACATCCTCAAAACAAACGATGAGGGTTCGAACCCCGCTGGCGACACCTATCTTCCGACAAAATGTGAAATTATTCACTTGTCAAAATATAGTTCCGTCAATTACAAGTGCAAATTAATTGAAATGTTGGTTCTAGACAATGTAAAATTGACAAACAACACTCCATTCCTGAAAAATAACGAAGCATTTAAACAATAAAATGGCGTCTCAGATGTGTTTTTATACCTTCTCCCTGATATATAGTCACCAGCTCCACATGCTACATACAGAAGTAGTACTATTTCGTATTCCCGTCAGTTGCCACTGAATGATTCCAAAGCTATTTTATGTGTCGGCTGTTTATTGCTTTACCAGGTCGGTGGGATAGCCTTGTGGTTAAAGCGCCGATACCCGGGTTCAATTCTCCACATAGGTACAATGTGTGAAGCCCATTTCTGGTGTCCTCCGCAGTGATATTGCTGGAATATTGCTAAAAGCGACGTAAACCATACTCACTATTGCTTTACCAGGTTACCGAGTCTGACCATCCGACAGCCATGTGTTCACCTCTTACCGTTTTAATCAAGTGGTGGACCAATAGTTCCGTGTTTCTGTGCTAATCGGTCTCTGAAAGAGTCAGTAAAGAATATATTTTCCACGCCTGCATCAACAGAGAAAAATAGAAAATCCATAATATTCCAGCATGATACTTGTTAATATATGACCAATTTAGGTCTACTTTGTCTGGATTCTGCGAAGTGTGTGCTGCATGTATAAATGTCTGAAAAACACGCACCATATATATTACCAGCTGTCAGTCAGAAAACGTATTGCATTTCATTATATATATATATATATATATATATATATACCTTGTTAATTAATGAAAATAGTTTATTAAAGTTTTTCAGGTTTACAAACCTCCCTTATCATGTTACAGATGTGGTAGAAAAATATTTACCGTATTCGACGTAATAAGCGCCCGAGAACAATCCCACGAAGGAAGTAGCACCCCTTCCGATTGATCAATGTCCACAAGACTTACTTATTCGTGTACAATACGCACTCGTGTGTAATATGCACCCTTAATTGTGGGCAATTAAAAAATATATCTGTCGTATAAAAACATTTCAGGCTCTCGGCATAAACAACGAAATTTATCTTTCAACTCTGTTTTTTTTCACCAAATAATATTCTAATAAGAGCTCCCTATTTCTAATTTTGAGAGCACCCTGTGCGCTTATTACGTCGAATGCGGTAGGTGGAATTTGAGAAGCTGTCATACTACCGACAAAAACAAATGGATGAAATAATAGTGAAGGTCTCATGACTATTAATGTATGTAAACCTAATTTCGGGCGTGTAGATGAATATCTGGTGTGTCCACCATGTTGAGCGATACATGCACAACACCTTTATGGCATAATGTTGATTAACTTGTGGATGGTTGCCCTTAGTAATGCCCGGCATTCTGTATCGGAGTATTATGCAGTTAAAGTTCTATCTACTAGTATACACATTTGCACTGGCAAGTTGTGTAGTACAATATTTTTGAATTAAAATCTATGTCAATTTGTTTCCGCCATTTCCTCTATACCCTTTAATACATGTCTGTTGATTAATCTTATTGCTCATGAAAGTGTTCCCAAATCTCCTGATCATAAAACACGTTGATGTTTCTCCTTACTGATCTAACGTAATAGCATTTCTGATCATTACCATCATCATCAACAGATGACATATCAGATCACATATTTTATTTGGTTTTATTGTCTGTGCGGTCTTAAAATTGATTAAAATGTCCAATGCATATTTTCAATAACAGGACCTATTGCTCATAGAAAGAATGTAACATTCAATTGATCTTCCACTTATCTTACTTACTGTTTTTATCAAATAAAGACTAAATACGACATATGTCAGTCCGTTGACGAGGTTTTTACAAGAAAAAGACAGGGAGGATTGTATGGTAGCTATGACAGACAGATTGAAAGACGTTGTCGACGCGAGTTGTGTGCATCCCTAGGTTATTTGAACGACAGTCGCCGTGTAGAATGTTACCATACTTGAAGGATTTCCGTGGCCAGTGACGGAGGTAATTCAAGCTCCTTCCACACTGACACCGCATCAAAGTAATTTGTGTACCGATTACATAACTTTTTCTGACAGGGGGAAGCCGGGCAGTTCACGCGAAACGGACGACACTGTCTCGGCTGCACCTTTGATATAGTTAAAGAATGAACCATTAAACGATGACGCGAGACTCGTTCTCGTTGTATGTCAAGGCACCAGTTCCGTTTTCATAAACACTGTTGTGAGGGTGTGCTAGTCTGTCTTACAGACCCTGATACAAATATATATCAAATACAGCCCATGCAAGTCTATAATGTTTGGCAAGTCTAGATCACTGCAGTATCTGAAAATGAAGAGAGTCACTGGGCTCCTTTTTATTATATTTTTATTAAGATAACTAAACAACTGTTTTTTTATGTACGATATGTTCATTTCAGAGACTAGATTTTAGTCTAAGGGTGTGCCTCATATCTCAACAATTAAAGTAAATATGTTATACCTGTATGTACAAAAATATATACACTCTTCAAAAAGAAGAAGAAAGAAACGCACAGGTAGTATGTAGTTCATTGCACCTGACTACTCCAAAATCTAGAATATAAATTGGATATATGTTTTTGGAAAATGCTGGTGGCCTGTTATTCGACAAACGGTGTGTCAACGTCAGAACACGGAGCAGTCACTCCCACAACTGGCCAACGCGTTACAAGCAGAATGGCGCAGAATTCCGCAGGACAGAATTCGTACACTTATCCAGTCAGTGCCGAGGGGATGCAGAGCCATGATTGCTTCCCGGGGAGGTCACACGAGATACTAAGTTCAGCACAACCTTGTGGCCTTATGTGAAATGACAATGAACAGTTTTCAATGCCTTTGTACAATGACAAAATGTGACTATCGAGCTCCATAATTTCATATTTGTTTCTATGATATTACATAAAATATATCGACTTTAATCAGGTACAATAAATTTACTAAAAATCCATCCGTGCGTTTCCTGTTTTGAAGAGTGTATACTGGCTAAGTATTTGCCCACAGAAATACTTACATAACTGTTTATTCACGCGTGGTGTGGCATATTGTTATTGAACGAGAGTAGGTATTGTAGATTCCCCTGGAAATTATACAGACGACTTGACATTGAGTAAATTGGCCTAATTATAAGAAGAAGAGATTTTGCTGAAGGTCCAAGTGAGCAACACCCCCCAAGCCAGCACAGAGCATCGCCTTGTTAGCTAGCCAAGGTGAACTCCACTGTCGGTAATTACCACGTTATTCAGTGTCCAACCCAGGCCCACACTCCGTCGCAGTGGTGACTCAGCATAACACCACTGCCACAGGCTAATTTGCATATCACGTGACCGGACTTTTCTCTTGTTTGTAAACAAACGCGCTTTTTCAGAATTCAGTATAGAACGGACAAATTCAAGTATTTGGGGGCGCTTTACATATTGTTTTGCATAACTATATAGATATGCTACTACAACTGCGACAGTGAGTTGCATGACAACATATATTTATGCATCAAAGTGACCGTGTCACTAGCTCTCCGTTGGGATTCGATGACAGCACGTGAAGCCGTACAACCAATGTAAACATAGGATAACTACGCAAAAACAAGTAGATTTTTACGTATTTGCATACTTTCTCAATGAAATTAACCATTCTTTGACATTTGTTTATGAAAATGTGTAGACTTGTCAAACATGAAACGGATGAAAAGCATATGCAATATCTGGAATGGACTGTGAAAGATGTGACGAAGCGTCACATGGCGCTGGCCTGTGGCAGAGGTACTATGCTAGCTGGCTGCCGGCCGCATGGAACTCTGGGTAGGAGAGTGACCCAGGCCGCGCTAAAAAAAATCAAATCGCCCCTCATAAAAAAATCAAAGCGCGATCTGTCGCGCACAGTAATTTCTTGTACAGTCACTTACTTTATCAGCTGTTTATCCATACCTTTAGATTCAATACTCACTAAATCTTTAATCAATTAACGAAGAAAGACAGTTCACAGCAAACATTGTAAACAACTGTCGAAGACCGATAACAACCGGAAGTTTGAACACGAGTGACGTCCCTTGGGTTGCTGAATAAATTATCGACAGGATTGTCATAGCAAACGAAATGTGATTTACTTTAGTAGAAAACGTATCAAAACTTTGCTCAAAATTATGTTGTATTTTGTTGTTTAGTAACCAAAAACCTTTGAGAAGATGTTTAAAGAAATAAATATTCTATCTCGAACAGTTCTAAAAATATTTTTGAGCATTTTAGTTCGTTTTAGTTTCGTTTCTGAAATCACACAATATGAATCGTCGACTGTCATAGCAGACGATCTTTTGAATAGTGAATAACCATGTCGCGCAAAAAAAAAAAAATTACAGACTTTTTTAATCAAAAAAGAGAAAAAAACCACAAAGCATTGTTATTCATTTTAGTTCTTTATTTTGATCTGTTACACTTTTATATGATGATGTTCCAGTACATACGGTGGCCCATATTTTGATGTTTCACTTACTTTTATCGTAACCTTTTGCAAATTAACACGAATTGTCACGAAATTTTGTATACGCAATACGTAAATAACAAACGTCAGAACAATCAAACCTGGTTATTTATTATCATAAATAATATTTACACATACAGTTCATTATACAGTTATTTTCGCTTGAGAGTTGTACGCATTATACATGTATATTGTGTTGCCTCACTGCCACATTTGCCACACTGAAGTCATCATTCTAAACATAATATGGATATACACTATGGGTACTCATGGGGAACATCAAACCGATTTTTAGCGTGACAATATACTGCTTCAACTACGACCCCACACATTCACGAAATCATTACTTGAATGCGCTGTTTGATATCTGGAAAAAACCCACAAAGATTATTTATCTGACCCTTGTATACAGCTTAATAGACAACATGTGAAATGTGTCATATGATATGAGAGACTGAGTATTATAACCTGACCCTGGTATCATACCGCACAGAGCAAACTATGTATTTCCATACATTATACAGGGAGGTAAGTCATCCGCTATAACAAAATATTGTTTGTTGGCAAACGTGACCAAACATACAGTGAAAAGGTGTCAAGGTGTAGGAAACTACTTGGATGCACTGACGACAATTGATGTACATTACACATTAATTACAAACTAATACAAGATAATTACTATTAATTAGCTGTCTTACTGACCGTCTGTCTGATTGTAATAGCATGTACAGCACGTGTAAAACGTGTTTGCACAAATGTTATATCACAATGGCACTTAGCATATGTTACACACAGAAAGATCCATAGTTATAGTTGGTTTTAATTTAAATAGCACGGTATTTGAAGTATATGCGTCTAATGCAAATGCTTCGTAATATTATCCACGATAAGTGTGTGGTCACGCTAATCAGGACGTCCCTCCATACATGTATATTGTATTGGTTTTTTTAACCAAGGACATGTACATGCACATACATCAACCAGGGTCAAAGTATTTTTGATCAAACCACGACATAGGTATACGCTAGTATACACGTAGATGTTGTACAAGACAAGAGACACAATGTATTATTGATCATTAAAGAAATGTTCATGTCAATAAGAATATTTAATGACAGCATTATTGGAACAGGATTTATTACAAACTGGTTTTTACATGTATTTATCAAACATTACATGTACCTGCAATCCATTCACAGTGTAGCGTCATAGTATACATTGTACATGTATGGAGACTATTGCCATGATCCGGCGTGATTGTTTCATAAAACTCCTAACTACTGCCATAATGCAATGAAATAGTTTTCGCAGATCAATTTCAATACTTACCCTTCCCTAGAAACCCACGGTAACCACGGGAACTGTTTGTAACTTTAAAAGATAATGTCACTATTTCATTCATTTCGTTACTTGGCAACTCTGTACTAAAATTTAAAACACATCTCGAAACATTCGCAAAGTATGTGGATGAAAATCTGCATTTATTTTAACAGCCCAAAACACAAAGAAGCCAAAGATGACTTCGAAAGATTTGTTCAAATTATTAAAAAAAGCCGTGAATGGCAAGTATTGAACGGACCGCGACTAAAGACAGATTTCGATGTTTCGATGATTTCGATGTTATACCTCTAAAACTCAAATTTCAAATGTGTCTATAGTTATTCGGAACATTTGGTGGCAGTGAGTATGGAAAAAGTGTCTGTGACGCTCAAGCAACCGATCTCTGTGGGATTCGCCATTTCAGAACATGCATGGCGACTTTTGTACAAATTTCATTATAATGTTATGATCAGGGAATACGATAGTGATCATGTAAGAATATTGATGGCGTATGTTAATGACTTTGACTTTGACGCGCCCAACTACTCCAAAGACCACTTCAAGTCATCAATGAGATGGAAGATGAAGTCGGTTCTGAAATCATTAGGGCTTTTTAAGCATTCGAGCCAAATATTGGTTTTATTGTATGACAAAGCTCCGGGTGATATTATGAGTTATGAGAAACCCACAGCCAAAGGCATACAGAAAGCTTATATCAACAGACATCACATGCATTATATGTATAGACTCTGTCACTTCCTGTTAACAATTCGATCTTTTCAAATGAATTAAACACCATATCCATGATGCCTTGATAACCACCACCCTCCTCCAAGGGTAAATTTATGTCATATTTGACTTGATTCTATCCTTATTCATTTTCAGAATTGCATGAAACAGGGAAGCTTCAAATAAAATCATACAATTTAAAAAAAAAGTATTAAAGATTATGTTTCATTTGAGGAAGCGTTGGAACACACTCAGCATACACACGGTCTGTGTGACGAGAAACAAATGTGCATGTCTGATACATACAGTCAAGATTACCAAGGCCCTTATCTATTGTTGAAGGGACAAACACGAGATATCACAACATGATGGAAGTATGATGTACTGTCTTAACATGGCCAGATCATGTACTGATTATAAGCAGAGTCGAGCACTATAGCCATGTGTTCTGATGTTCTGACACTCTACAGTACGCTATGATGTGTGCAAATACTCTCGTGTGAGCTATTTAAGGAATGACTCATCGATTGTACATCGTAGAATGTTCCATAACAATATCCAAACAAACATCAAGAGACAATGTGAATATAGTTTTATTCACAGGCTGAGATGTACATTATATCTGTATCGACATTAATGGTTAAAGGGATGGACTGTGTAACCTCATTAAATGATCACTTCTTAATCGAGTTTGTTTGTTCCTTCCTGCGCCTGAACTATACATGTTGGAACATGATATTGTTATATCACGTCTCGTAGCCCACGGGTTGAGGGAGGGTGGGGGTTGTTGTTGGTTTTGTTTGTTTTGTTTGCTTGTTTTTTGTTTAACGCCGCACTCAGCAATATTCCAGATATATGACGGCGGCCTGTAAATAATAGAGTCTGGACCCAGTGATGGACATCGTGAGCATCGATCCACACAATTGGGATCGATGACATACATCAACCAAGTCAGCGAACCTGACCACCCGATCCCGCTAGTCGCCTCTTACGACAAGCATAGTCGCCTTTTACGACCTATTCTACCCCGGATCTTGACGGGTAATGTTGTTGATGGCGACAATGATATATTGCGAATGGAATTCACTAGACTTGACTATGGTATGACGCATCTCCCTCTCGTAAAGATGTCACTCATCTCGCTCCATGTAACGTTTTTAAATGTTCCACAAAGCTAACATGCAAAGCTAATGTGCGTCGGTAATGTTCCGTACAATATCTCTCAAGATGTTTAAATCTATGTCTCTCGGATATGTATGCGTACCAGGCATCAAAGCTTGATGTATTATGAGTTGGTTGTCTGTTAACAAATCGGTCAACTATCTAGAATAAACTTGATCTAATCGGCTGCCAAAGGAGGCCACAGGAACAACAACCAAATTAAAGGATGGCGCCATGAAATGAACTCCCTGACGTCATGCCACCCTAACTTTAGTGACTTCATACTCATGGTAAAGTATTGGATACAGACGTGAATCAGCGAGGAGAAGGCGATACACCGCCGCGGCTTAAGGTCTGAGAAACTTCTGCCTTGGAATACATGGATTCCGTTGAGAACTTGCTGGGCGTGTGGGAATAAACTCTATGTATGAGTTTACAATCCCACGAACTTCTAAGTGCATAACACCCAAACACGATCTTTTGACTCTCACGTGAGATTTAATCACATTTTGTGTGAAATCTATGATTTTAAACTATTCACTTAACATGAATAAAACATGGTCAAACAATCCCTGATTGACTTGTTGTCAAACCTCCCACTCTGAATTAACCTCTAAAAGGTTTCCGTCGATAACAGTATCGTTAGCTTGCTGATATTTTATAGGCTGTATATATATTTTATAACTCCACTACGTCCACCCTGTCCATTAGCATAGAAATACAAGTAGGTAGGATGAAATGGTGAGATTTTAACAAGTACAGCATGTGTTTCTTAATGACAGCCTTGTCAAGTACGAATGGCGGAAGGATAAAGATGTACGTGTCAGTTTACTTGGGGAGGGGGGGGGGGGGGGGGGGGGGGGGGGGGGGGGGGTTACTTAGTGATGCAGGTCAGGGACAAACTCCAGAATGCCCATATCAAGGACAAACTTCGGGCAGAAACAAATGTAGACTTAAGAAATCTGGAGTTCAGAGCTTAACGCTCGCAATAAAGTTAATGGAACAAAACGTATCTGGTACCCGTCCTTTCGTATTCTTTTGGTGTTGTTGATTGGACGAAACAAGAAATTCAGCGCATTGACACCCTCACATGAAGAATCATATCATACAATAGATCCCACCACACTCGCTCTTCCCTATAAATACAACATTCTTTGGAATAGGCCCGTATTCAACCTCAGAATATCTAGGCCAACAAACCTGATCTTATCCTTTTTGATAAATCCAATGAAACATTTATATCATTGAATTTTCTGTCCCTTTTGACACTGATGTGATTGATAAGATTTAAGGAAAAACATGGCAAATATGCGGACCTCGCTTTCGAAATGTCACGCTTGCTATCCCAAGTACCA